TCTTCTTCTCCTCCCATCTTCTTTAATTTCAAAAATCTTCTCCCTCCTTTTGAAAACTCTTCTATTTTCTAAACTTGAAACACTTTCATAATAAACTTGGACTTAGGTCCATGCATTTTCAAAACATTTTCATCAATAAACTTCAATCAATTCAATAATACTTTGACACTTTTTGTGAGAAGACTAAAAGTCAATCAACCTCATTTCAAACCATTTTTGCCACTTTGACTTTTATATTTAAACTTTTCTTAAAAGGTTAAGCTCTTGTCAATCATTGTAGTGATGCAAATAACTATACTTCTACAATATATAGTGAAGTGAGATATTTTTCACTTGGGTCTTGAGTGAGGTATTGTTGATTTTAAGATCCAAGCCATATCCTCCACTTTGAGATGATGCAAATTCTCCTTTCTCATGATTGTGGGTAGTAAGCATGTTTTCCACACGGACAATGACGATGATGTCTTATCTCTTAAAAATTAATCAACACACTTGTGTTTCAAATTTTTAAAAGAGGAACTATGTGTACCCTGATCCCCTATTGCACGAAAGGTGGTACGTAGGCACTAAAGGTTCGCAACCGCGGCGGGTGCAAAAATTATAAAAAAATATATTTCTCTTCTCACCTCCACCATCCATTTTATATACAATACATTTTTATAGCTAAAATATACAGATTTTTTCAAAGAGGTTCCTGCGGAGTACCGTAGATGTTTAAGGTGCTAATACCTTCCCTTTGCATAACCAACCCCCTTACCTTGAATCTTTCCCCCTCTTTTTGGGTTATTCGCTCTTTTCTCATTCCTTTGGAAACAATAAAGTGCGGTGGCGATTTTTATTTTGATTTGTATAAAGTCTAGTCAATCCAATGACTTAGTCTTGAACATTTCTACCGCTACAAGTAACACTTTCACACAACTCAATTCCCATATAACATGCATCATATACCCAATTCCCATATAACATGCATCATATACCCAATTATAGAGTCAGAACCCCATCTTAACCTTGGATTGAAGGTTGCTCTACAATTTCCGATCGAATCCCGATTTGTCTCTTTTCCTTTTCTCTGTAACTTCTACGTTCTTTTTCTCTCTTCCAACCCTTATTCTTCTTCTTCTTGACAAAAACCTATTTTTCCTAACTGTTAATATAATTTCTATTATTATAACCAAACTTAATAATCATAGTATTTCTATTAAGTCTAATTCTCACACCACCTTAATACTACATACCATCAAAATAAGCTCAATGACTAATACTAATAATTCCAACATTATTATTATTAATCAACTGATTAATTAATTAATAATAATCTAACAACTTATACCAACAATTCTCAACATCTCACAACTTCAACAAATAATCCAAAAATAATTTAATTAATTAATTAATTAAATAAATGGGTGTTACAATGGACGTATGTCGAGCGGCATACACATGTTGATGAAGGGTGCCGACCGACACCATGCCTTTGTGCCGAGGGGCACGATCTTGCATGCCAAGGGGCATGAATCCATTGCCCGATATTTCTTTAATTATTCATGTGTTTCCTGTGCGTGTCTGTTACTTGGTAATGTTAGCAGAAAATTAGTAATTAGCAGATAGTGTAATGAAAATTATTGGTAGCAGTGATATATGAAAGTAATAGCGGTAGATATTTAGCAATGATAATTATTAAATTGTAGAATTAATAACTGGTATAGTTTTAGTTTCAGAACTAGCAGTAAATAGCAGTAGTATTAATATCTAAAATATATTAGTAGTAGAGATAACTTAAGTAGCAGAAAAATAATAGTTTCACTAATTTAGCAGAAAACCATTAATGAGGCTTATCAGTAGAATAATTTAGTAGAAATAATTTAGTAGGAACGTGTTAATAGCATTATTGGCATGTATAAATTACTGTGTTGTTATTATTAATTATTAAAGTTGCAGGTGATGAATTTTATTGTGTTGCCTCCATTGATTGACAATTATTAAGTTGTAGGCTTATGCTAGTGTTGTTATGTTGTTGTTGTTGATGTTGCATTTAATCATGTTGTCGCATACATCACATATCAAGTTGGAGCTGATGCTCGTTAAGTTGGCTTGGATTGGAAAAATATTAAGTTGAAGGCTTATGTCTTGTTGGTGTCTCTATTTATTGGCAGATTTTTAAATTGGGAGTTCTGCTCCATTGGTACCACATGCATGTGCATAGTAACAAGTTGCATTTCACGTTGTATATTGAGTTGTTGTGTTGGTAAATTTTTATTATATTCCGTTGATGTTTTCGTTGTGATTTACGTTGTTTAAAGTTGTGAAGTGGTGATTTGGCATAGACTAATTCTAATATAATATTATCATACATCTGATTATATTGTTTCATATCTCATCCCTTATGTTTGAATGTTACCCCGATTTTGGTAACATGCAGGTAATCCAGAGTGAAGGCGATTTACCTTCAGTACTTCGAGTCAGTGTAATTGCTCTGATACGTAACACTCAGGGGGATGAACGCTTGTGGATTTATTGTTGATTATTTCAGTTGATTTAACTTTAAGTTGTTGTTCGTTAAATATTTATTATTTGAAGTTGTTTCAGTTGGATAAAGATGTTATATTCTTTTAAGTTGAATACTTTATTCCGTTGCGTAGTTATGGAAGTTATTAGTTTTAAAGGATTAATTTATGTTGTTGTTGGTTCATCCAAGTTTAATGTTTTATGCATCCTGATTTGGATGTTGAAATTTTGTAACTCTGATTTTTTTTAATAATTGTCGGGTAGAATTGGAGTGTTATTGGGGCCACTGTTGTTGTCACCATCATCCTCGGCTTCATCGCTACTACATAATAATTTCAACCATTACAGTGTTATTGCAAATGTATATTTGCAATGTTTTAAAACATAATCAACAACATATAACGCTTTTCATACTTCATCACTTACCAATCACTATCAGAGCATATATTTGTGTATGTTAATCCATTGGAATCTACAAATATATCTTTCGCCTTAAACTTGCGCTTCACAACAACCACATCACGTCATTGCGACTTCTTTCCTATACCCCCATTCTTGCGTACTAGTGTTGCATGCAGTTTCCTTTTATCAATAACACCAGCAACATTCATAGTATCTACATTTCTTTCAACTCTTTTCCTCTTTCGACCCTTAACTTTATCTGTAATACCGCCGTTGCAAACAGATGATGGTGGTTTTTTCTCCATAAATTTGTCACAAACATGGGATGCTTTAACTGCGCCGCATAACTCAACAGCCGATTCAACTAGATTATCTCCATTTTCACTTATTCTACACCTCCATGCCCTAACCCAACACAATGAACCAATGATCCACCGTCTTTTTTGGGTGTGAGTTCATCACTAACAGATGGTCCTCCATCTTTGACTTCTTGGTGCACATCAACTTTGACTGTTGATAAATGTTTTCCCTGCTGTGCTTTTTCCTTTGCTTCACTATATCTTTTAACCTGCTCAAGGTGCTTACAGTACACCATATCAAGCCTCTCTCTTCTCCATTACAACTCTTCCATAGACCTGCAACAACAATATCACACAGCAAGTTAATACAATTAAGAATAAATGATTCAACTACAAAAACATGCAAGACATTTCGTATGTTGGTGCCAATTTACATTCTTTCCTCAGATGTCATAGGAGTCTTGCTTGCCATTTTTCTTAACTTGGATGAACAGACAAAGCTAACTGATGCTTCTTTCCTTTTTACTTTATGTCTTTCCGTATAACCTTATAGGCTATATATAATTGAATTTCTTTTATAAATTTTTAACTGTTTTATATTATTTTTCATTCTTATTTTTGTTTTACATTAACAAATGGACTGGTCTGTCCATGTTTATTTCTGGACCAAATAATTTTGATATTAACATACTCAAAATTGTTTTCATTTCAATTAACCATACTTATAAAACCACTCATATTAAAACATGTTACATATGTCAACAACCTTATTCATACAAAAATTAAAACACCATCATTACATTTGTTCATTTAAACTAATATACATACATGTGCTTAAATTACTTCATTAATAAATTGAGTTCTAATAATGTCCCTATTAATCTTTTTTAATTGTATTATTTCATTAATAAATCACTTTTAAAATAAATTCTATTTCAATATATTTTTATTCATAAAATTTATAGATTTCTATTCAAATTATTCTTTATAAATATCTATTATTTGTAAAGCTTAAAATCAGGTTGAGAAACAAAACTTCAATATCAAAACATAATAGCAGCCACATCAAAAAAAATGTATGAATTTCTATTCAAATTATTCTTTATAAATATCTGTTATTTGTAAAGCTTAAAATCAGGCTGAGAAACACAACTTCAATATCTAAACATAATATTGAAAATCAAAACTTTTATATAAGTTAAACACTAATTTGAACATCAAAATCTAGCTAAAAAACACAACGTGAGTAACTAAAGATACCATTGACAACTAATAGATTAGTATATATTAATATAATATCATCATCACCACTTACTAATACTTAGAGTTTGCAAAATACATGAATTATACAAATGTTTTTAAAATTGTAGTCACATAAATTACATCCCGAACAAATAACTTGTGAAGAAACTTTCACAATTGCAAAGCTATCACATACAACCCATATCATACCATCTGTTCAAACAATACAAAATTAATAACGTGAAATAAACATAAAAAACTACAAACACAACTAATCCTTCTTTCAAATTATATAACCAACATAATCTGATTTAGCTTATCTTCTTTCCCGGCTCAACATAAACCAATATTTCATCAACAAGCGGATATTGAATGCAAAAATGGAGAGTGTCTCCTTTCTTTCATTTTTCCTGTTTGGCAAACTCGTACCACCCAGTAGTAAGATACTTATCTCTTTTGTCGTCGTTCCTCGCCTTCAATACACGATTTTCGAAGATACTCTTGTCGGAATCATATAACACAATCAAACTGACCGGTCCACTTAACCACTTTTTAATGACCACACGATAATTGCTTCAAAATATATAGTGGAATTAACTTAAATTCAACCGTAAAAAAATTACATATACTGCTGCAACAATTATCTTGTACCACTTACAAACACATTCCTACGCAAAACTTTAGCATTACGTACAACCATACTCCATCTTTCTTCTTTTCCTTCCACATAGATTGAAGTATATAACCTGCAAACAATCACCAAACCAGATATATTCAAAACTAATCTGACTCTATTTGCTACATACCTCTTATCCATTACATGTTTCCTTCTAAACATCCTTAACTGCTTCAACATATACCACACTTTTTCGCATTTTCACTACAATTAAAGTCTTCAAACAGACCCATATCATAAAAAAATGTCCCAATGTTCATTACTACCGTTTTCTTAATATTCTCTATAATTCTCCTAAAAATACCTACCACAATTAACTCACTACTCTACAGTTACAGTCCTTCCAAAAGAAACCCTACATAAATTATACAAATTGAGAACTTATTAACTGGAATGAACAACAATAATATTTGCAACATAAAAGTATAATAATACAGTACTATAACAGCTGCACCAACAATGTCGAGTCCGAATCCGAAGCTCAGTCACACAAAAACACAGTTCGAATTGAATTAGAAAACAAAACTACCATAAATTTAGAAACAAATAGCTTAAAGATTGTGTAGAATAGCAACATAGTGCAAAACCTACTCTTTCAAACAACCAATTTCTTTCTCGAACAATCTCTCTGCAATAACCTACGTATAACCCATGATTCAAAATCCAAAAAAATTACATTTTTTTTCAATGAATAAAACAAAACAATGAAAACCCATGATTCAAATATCCAAAAAAGATTGAATTTTTCCAAAAAACAAACCAAAAGAAAGAAAACCCTAAAATCAAAATTCCATAACTATCAACTTTACCATTGAATCAACAGGTGTTGATTATTCAGAACCCAAACAGTGGGTGTCGATTCACAAATGCAACGAGTGTTTAAGAACTCAGGAGCAGATGGAATTTGTGAGAGAGAAGAAGAAACAAACCCAAGACAGAATGATAAGAGTGGTAGAGAGGGATGAGAAACGAGAAGGGGTGTAGAAGCGCTAAGAAATACACAAAAGATAAAGATAAGGAGGAAGTCGATGTTGTGAAGAGAGAGGGGGGAAGTGGTTGTTATGAAGAGAGAGAAGGGGGAAGAGATCACACAAGATATGGATGCAGAGGATGCAATCTGAAAATTGCTTTTTGGCAGGTTGCATTGGGTAGATGTGAAAATAAGTATTTGTTTTTATTAAAGGGAAAGTGAACAAATAGAAGTAGAAACAAATGCGTAATTTGTGGACAAAGACAGAAATAGTATTTGAAATTGGATTCATTTTATCCCTCATTTCAATAGGTGGCAATTTTAAAGTAAATGGCAATTTAAAGTTTTCCCGTTACATTTTTTTATTTTATATTATAGATATATCTATATTTATTTAAAAGTGTGATATATATTTTATATATAACGCAAACATAAAGAAATTTCTTTGAAGAAGATGAGATGTTTTTGTATCATCATTCATCTGTTTTGTTTGGGTAGTTTTTCATAAGTCATCCACAAAATAACCAAAATTGTATCTTTGTTTTTATATCAAGGTTCATTTTGAGCTTGTTGTTGATTGTATTAAAATGTCCCACAAAAAAACCTTTGTTATTTCAGCATCTCTTGAAAACAAATGCTATAAAACAGCAGTGGAGTTCTTTGAGAAAATGACCAAGGACCAAACTTGGTTTGATTCCACCACTCTATTGCTTGTGGTATCAACTTTGATCAAGGAAAGGCAATTCATTGTGTGAGTATAAACTCGGGGATGCTTTCCACAACTTCGTTACACATAAAAAACTTTGATCAAGAAAAGGGATTGATTTCTTTTAGTTATCAGCATACATGGAAGGAGCAATAGCAAGGGATTATTAATTTCTTATAGTTATCAGCATACATGGAAGGAGCAATAGCATGTCGTGCTTTCCATAGTGAATAACAATTTGAAGCATCAATTGTGAGTAAAAAATAATTTAAATTGGTTTATAATATAAAATTTGAGATATATTACAGATATATGAGGTCAAATTTGAACTATTTATAAAAAAAAAATAGTTCAATCATTATAGATGAACATCTTACAAAGTACTAACACTAATGACTACTTATAAAAGCAATGAGCAGCAGTGTCTTTTAAAGGTCATGATGTATACACATAGATGGATAGGATTACTTCCACTTTCTAAACATACCATGCTTGCCAAACTTTCCACCCTTGAATTTCCCATGCTTGCCGAATTTCCCACCCTTGAATTTTCCATGGCCCATGTGACCATATCCTCCATGTCCATAATGGCCATGGGAAACACGGTGAGCACCATAAGCAGCGGCCGCACCAGCAATCAATCCACCCATTCCACCCATACCAGCAGCACCACCGGCATGCCCAAAAGGCCCTGAAGTAACCCAGAGAAGTTAGTTACTTAACTTCAAGCATATTACTTCCGTTATATACAGAGAGTATAGATCAATTCAAGAGCCTAAAGTAGCTTCAAAGTTTTAATAACAATAATGGAGTATTAAATTACTATCTAAAACATAGACACACCAAACACAACACAGACACTAATATAACACTTTTCTCATAGGTGTCGGTGCTATATCAATAGCAATGGATAATTGATTGAAGAGGTAATTGTGGAAAATAAGAAAGAAAGGAATGATACCTGGGGCATGTGGTGGAGCATGAGAACCAGGATAACCAGCAGGTGGATAACCATAACCACCGGCTGCTGGAGGATAACCACCGCCTGGCGGATAACCAGCAGGAGGGTAACCAGCCGGAGGATAACCACCTTGATGTGGAGGGTAGCCATGTCCAGGTGGAGGATATGCTCCTGGGGGAGGGTATGCTCCTGGTGGAGGGTATGCTCCTGGTGGAGGGTATGCTCCTGGGGCTAACCCATGAGCTAAATGTGAGAAAACTCCTTTGTCAGATTGATCATGATTATTATGTCCACCACCTTCCATTTTTCAGACCTAATCATTCAGAATAAAAAAAAATCCTTCAATTTAATCCATACAGTAACAAATTCAATCGTATATAAAACAGATAGGGTGAAAAGTTTGTACCAATGAATGAAAATTATGATTGTGAACTCGTTGATTTTTTTGGTGAGATTGTGCAGAAGACGAAAAAGGAGATGAAAATTGAAAGAAAAATTAGATATATATGTTATTTATATAGATAGAGAGGCTATGAAAGATCGAAGAAGAAGAAACGTAGAAACCGAAAATCTCGAATACGAGTTACGCGTCATTAACGCATCCAAGATTCCGACTTCTCCTCTTATTCAGCTAAACGTGTCCATTTTCGAACCTTTTTGCTAATTAAAATATATTTTAGGATTGGATAAATATATTGAGCCCGGAAAGATAGAAGAATTTAGAAAAATATTTTTTATATTAATTGTCCACCTAAAAGCATTCACATCCATCATATTTATTTGAATTTTTTAAATGAGACTCACATAATTTTTTATATTATTTTACACTTTTCAATTTTTTAAACAATTCATTTATCATTCTTAAATATTCATGTAACTCATCAAAAAATTTAAAATGGGTCCCACATTTAAAACAAATCAACTACATTCTTACAATTTTATTTATTAATTTATTATCATAACCCACTTAGGATTGGATAAATATATTGAGCCCGGAAAGATAGAAGAATTTAGAAAAATATTTTTTATATTAATTGTCCACGTAAGAGCATTCACATCTATCATATTTATTTGGATTTTTTAAATGGGACTCACATAATTTTTTATATTATTTTACACTTCTCAATTTTTTAAACAATTCATTTACCATTCTTAAATATCCATGTAACTCATCAAAAAATCTAAAATGAGTCTCACATTTAAAACAAATCAACTACATTCTTACAATTTTATTTATTAATTTATTATCATAACCCACTTAATTGGAGTGTAGAAGCGTGCTTTAGTATGAGGACGTGCTTTAGTTCAGGAACGTGAAAACAAGTGAAATATCCATTTATTATTTACATAATTTCTTTAATAAATGTGTAGGAACTCTCAAAGAACACCGATAATCATACTCTAATGGCCGAACAATAAAATATTATAATAATAAATTATTTTGAATTCTTTAGATTAAGAGAGTACGGATTCAAATGATTTATTAACTCTATAATTTATTTAATTAATATTTTAAATTTTATTATTCAACTATTAAAAATTTAAATATTTATTAATTAATTTTATAATTTTATTAATCAATATTTTTATTATATTAATAAATTTTGTTTTACTTTTAAAAATTATATTTAATATCTGAGTATTTATTAACCAATTTTATCATTTTATTAATTAATTTTTTATATTTTATTAATCTATTTTATTTATTAAATATTTTTAATATTTAAAATTTTATAATTTTTTATATTTTATTAACTAACTTTATTTTACTATAATTTTATTTAAGATAGACAAGGTGAATATGCCCACATATTATTTTATTATATATTTAGATACAAATGAATATTATTGGTACGAAAAAATATAAAAATAACAAAGCTGGATAATTTAATATGACACCCGGAAAATATATATGCCATGCCACATTTTTTATTAATTTCAAAACTATCTTTTGATAAAATTGGATTAAAATATGCGAATTAAATTTTCTAGTTTATTGAAAGATATTATTTAAAATTTTCGATAATTAATTTAAAATTGTCAATATAAATTTATATCGATTTTTAAAAAAATTCTATGTATCTTTGAAACAATATCGGTATTTTTAGTAAATACAATGTGATATCGGAAATTTTAATCAATATGAAATTTTTGGTAGTGCAAATTTCTAACAGTTACGATTTTGTTAACCATTTTGTACGACTATGATTGCACCGACCGTTATGTGTGATCAAAGATTGAATTTAAAGTTGTATAAATAGATGTCATATATTATTGAGAAAAAATATCTTAGTGTTATTGCATTAAAGCGACAAACAAAAGTAATTATTTTTATTTTTATTGTCTCCACAAAGATTAGTGTGATGGAAAGAATGTCGTTCAACAATCTCCACATTTATGAGTTTGGTTTTGAATGGTTTATAAGTGTAAAGTGCGGAAAATAATCATATGAACAAGTAAAATAAATGCATTCTTAGAGAGGAGAGAACTCGTCAAGATTGGATTTTATCTACCTATCAATTACTTAAATCTACTGATCAGTTATATGCAATCTAAAACACTCGTCAAAATCATCAAGTATCACCCGCAACAAAGGATATGTCTAACACAAAGTTGAGAGAACAACTGTAATATCTCATCAATGATGTCTCACGTAAATAAATAATACATAAGCATTAAGAACTGATACCCACAGTAAATATTAGATCTAAATCTATTTCTAGAGCTTAGAACCTAATAGATGTTCATCCTAGTTCTAGATTTGAAGAGTATATGTCTATAACAACTCAAATTCAAACATAAAGCAAACAAACAAAGATAAAATTGATAAAGATTTATAAATAGATTTTATACAACGCCATGATCAATACATATACATAAAATCAAAGTAAAGTTATATATAAACCTCAATAATAGAGAATACAAAGAGAAGAGGGAGATAAACGACAACTCTCGCAGTGTCAAGACGATTGTTGCAAATCCAACTCCGGATCATCAAGTTGCAACATCCAATCTTATTTTCTAAGCCTCTCTACTCCAAAATGGGTCTGAAGGAATTGGGAGTAAAAAGCACCAAAACCATCCTTAAAAAAATCTGAATGAAATTAATTTATACAAGCTGAAAATCGCATATCACGCTTAGCCCGCTCAGAGCGCACTAAGCGCGATGTCACTTAATGCACCAAACCAACTCAAAGCGCGCTAACCGCGGTTGGACCGGGATGAGAGGGCTCAGGCTTATTTTGCTACTGTCAAACTTCATTTCACGTGGTAAACTGGGCTAAGTGGGCTCGCGCTTCAACTTGGACTTAGCCCACTTGACAAAACTTTTATTTCTTCAAATTGCACCTTTTAAGCTATGCCTTTGGATCATATTAATCGATGCTTCAATCACGCATGAATTCCTACAAAAATGAGATAAAACAATCAATCGATATAATATTTACACAACTAAACTATTAAGCTATTATTTACACAAAAGTCGGAGTTTTACTTATTAATACACAAAAATCGACTGATAAGTGCCACAAAATACAACTAAAAATAACGACATATTGACACTCATCACTTATAATGCATCTTCATTAATTTTTGATGACTTAAATAGTATGTTGGTCCCTGTAAGTTAGCGTATTTTTGGTTTTAGTCCCTAATATGTTTTTTTTAAATAGTCCCTGAATGTTAATTATTTTTTTTTGGTTTTAAGAACTAAAACCAAAAAGATTTAACATTCAAGGACTATTTAAAGAAAAATACGGATTAAGGACTAAAAGAAAAAAAACACGCTAACTTACATGATACCAACATATTATTTAAGTCATTTTTATTAAGATAGAAGTATACTTTCAAAGGGCACTGCATGTCTCGCCATCTTGAGATCCACGTTGAATGATTTGTCGCCTAATACCGAGAATAGAAAGGCGTGTAAGATCGAGTTTTGTATGGACTGGATTAATACAGATGAAAAGGTGAAATATGACCTTATTGAGGTGAAGAACGGTGGAGATTTGAAGGTTATGTGGAGAACATTTCACCGTAGGCTAACTAAGGGACGAATTTATATGTGACAATTTCAAGATTTATTGAAAACATAATCAAGATGTTGAAACATTTAGAATCATTTGGTAGTGCCTTGGTTTTGTTATTTATTATTGTTAGTTTATGTTAGCCGTAATGTATTAAGTTATGTTCATCTTTCAAACATGTAATCGATAAAATATTATGTAGTAAAAAGCACGGTGCTAAATAGTTCGAGTCACAAAATATACAAATGTAAAATCAAATATCTAAATAGGTCCCCAATGGCTATGTGTGTTGCCTGCAATATCAAACCCATGAGGTAATTTATAATAACAACGATCATTTGCAGCCGATGTTGGTTATCAACACCAGGTGGAAGCAGCGACATATCATCGCCAAGTGCCCCAACATCGAAAGGTCTAACATCATCTGTAATGCTCAACAGGCGGTATAATGTGAGGGTGTGTTGTAGCAAGATACTGAAATATTGTTCCTCAGGGGACATATGTCGAACATGATGCTCCAACAACAGGTTCGACAAGTTATACCAGAACCAACACAGATATGATAGTATGAGTTGTGCAAGTTGATGGAGCTGAAAAATGATAAATAACACAGAGAATGGTTACCCAATTCGGTGAAACCAAGCCTACGTATAGAGGGTTGAGTATGCAACCCAAAGAAAAGAAATTCACTATTAGAAGCTTAGTACATTTACAAGCAACAACAAAATCATGTTGTTCAATGCCTCTTCCTAACACTACCCAATGACTTTATATTTAGAGTCTCCCCTTAAATCTGAGAATCCATTCAGTTTATTTATCTATCTCACAACCTGTTATAGGATGTTTCAACCACTAAACCCTAGTGATCAACTTCAATCAACACGTTCAATGATGTTGAATTTTACAACTCAACTAGACAAACCTTCTATGTCAAGTTACTGAAACACAAATGTGTACATATAGATTCTACACTAATCCTATTAGGGCATTAACATGGAATACAAGACACAAAACCCACTCTATAAATATTCAATGTAAACACTTGCATGCTTGAACTCCAAAGTGATTTGTCTCCTCCTTATATAGAAATTCTTCTAGGCTTTTCTTCATGGATTTGAGAATTGATTCGTCCAGAAATATTAAAGATTTAGTTGGATATTTGATTTATTCCTTGAATATCTCCAACAAAAAGATATGATTTGATTTGATCTCCATAGTTGTCCAACAAATCATATTATCATATTTTTAACTTAATAACAATAAAATATGATTCAGTCTT